TGTTGCCGTTGGTTTGGCCTCGCAGCGGTGCCCGGTGCTAGGAAGTGCGAGTTGTCGCCGATGTCTTTCGCATCCAAGCAGTGCCCCAGTGCTAAGATCGGGGCTGGCGCCGTGCCCCACTCATTCCCTCATTCCCTGCTAAAGGCCGCCCAGTCTAAGGAGCCAGGCTCTACGGGCAGCACGCGAGAAGTTCGACGAGGAGACCATGAAAGACCGTATCATCCCGATGCGGTGGCTGCTGACCTGGAAGCCGTTGACCGAAACGCCATCTAAGGATGACAAGACGGTCCGGAAGGGCGGACTGCACAAGGCCAAGGCGCGGGTGATCCTGATCGGCTACAAGCACCCGGACCTCGAGAAGAGGAACCCAAGGACTGGAGCCAGGTTGTTGCAGACGGCATCACCGACAATGAGCCGACTGGGAAGAAACCTGCTCTTTCAGGGAGCGGCCCTGGACGGCCACACCTTGGAGTGTGCAGATGCCAAGAGTGCCTTTCTACAGGCAGACGCGGACATCGGCACCAAGAGGCTCTTCACCAAGGGTGTTCCTGAGGTGGCGAGAGCCCTGGGCATCCAGCCAGGAATGGCCATGGAAGTGGTCGGAGCCTTTTACGGCTTGACGAACGCTCCCAGAGTGTTCTGGCAGGACACTGACAACAAGGTCACCAAGATCGGAGGGCGGCGCAATCGCGTCGACAAGTGCATTTGGGTCTTCAAGAGCAAAGAGACCGGCGCAATTATCGGTCGCGTGGGAACACACGTTGACGATTTCATTATCGCCGGCGACATGAATAACCCAGAGTGGCTGGCGATCCGGGAGGAATTGAAGAAAATGTACTCCTGGAGTCCTTGGAGGCAGGGTTCTTTTACCTTTGCCGGACTTGAGGTCCAGCAGCTCAAGGACTACTCCATCAAGGTGACGCAGGAGGCCTTCTCGAACTCCTTACAACCGGTGGTGATCTCTGAGGAGGCCAGCCGTGGTCAAGCAAACAAGCTAACGGACCAGGAGATCAGCCAGTGCCGTGGGTTGATCATGAAGGCCCAGTGGAGAGCGGTGCAGTCAGCTTTCCAGTACTGCGCCCGAGTGGGCATCGCAGCCTCAGCGCTGACGGACCCAAGAGTGGCGAACCTCACGGAGGCAAACAACATCCTGAAGGAGATGAAGAAGACGGCCAAGGAGGACCTGTACTTCCACGCGTTTATTTGGCAAGAACGCTGAGGAGCGCCTCACTTGGAAGGATGTGGTTGCCGTCCACTTTGGGGACGCCGGGCACAAGAGCCGGGGTGATGGATCCTCTACAGGAGGATACATTACAGGTTTCGCCGAGCCAGGCATCCTATGGGGAGCTGAGGCGAGGATGTCAATCATCGACTGGAACAGCTGGAAGCTAGACCGGCCTGCAAAAGGAAGGAACTCTACGGAGAGCCAGGGACTTTAGGAAGCAGAAGACCGCGGTTGGCGGGTACGACTTCTGTGGGCGATTGTCAATGGAGAAGAGCTCAACCGCAACAATGCGGTGACCCTGGCGGCCTCGATGGAGTCACTTTTGGTGACTGATTCGAGAGGACTCTATGATGCTGTGAGCAGCTCCGAGTCTCCACTGTTGGGAATGGCAAATAGCCGTACCGGCGTGGAAGTGGCTGCCATTCAGAAGGCACTCCGTGACGATGGCCGGTGCTATCTCACATGGGTTCCCTCCGACATCAACCTTGCAGATGCATTGACGAAGGCAACTACGGAAGCCTACAAGGTCGCAGCCACCTACCTGGAAAGGAAGACTTGGATAGTGCGCTTCAACCACGACTTCGTCAGTGCAAGGAAGCAGCAAAGGCTGCGCCGAGCTAAAGAGCTGCAGGAGGCTGCGTCTTCGACACCGAGTTCTCCTGAGTGGGACCAGTACGTTGAAGAGCTTTTCGAGCCTTCGAGTCCACAGCTCCGCGAGTAAAACACTAGCTCGCAAGGGGTTTTGTGGATGCAGCGTAAGCTTGTGTGTGTGTGTGTGTTCCTTTAGGGAGCAAAGTGCGCAGCTTAAGTGTTTCGCACGTGGCCCCTATGGCTCGAACCTAGGGGGCCCCTTTGAGCTGACCGGAAATCACGGGTCAAAAGAGACTGAGCGATGCATCTATAGACGATTCTTCAAACTGCCGCTGAACCTGCAATGGAAGCACTCATGCTAGCACCCCACAATCCAGGACACCGAGTCCGGAGAGGACATCGCATGGTTAGCCTATTTATGACCACTTGGCCAAAATCTATGTAAACAACAACCTTTCGGTGACTTTCTGAAGGCAGTAGGTCTCACCCCGGAGTGCAAAGGATCTTGTAAACGTTTCTGCATGTACCCTCGAAACCAAAGTCCCAAGAACATCCAAGAACACATCAGCAGGATCACCACACGTATCCTAAATCCGGACAGTGCCTCGTAGGGACACTGCCTTCCAGCACGAGCAAGATCTTAAGACTGCGACTCCGAGAGGACATCGTCACCGAATGTGTCGTCACCGAATGACAGCAATTACAGGGTCTAACAGACCAGTGATTGCGCAACCCAGATACCTGGGGAAGATATGCATATCAACCATTATTCTAACAGCGCTTTGGCTTACTCGACCCGCAACCAGGAGGTACGGCGAGAGACGCGCCCGCTTTACTAAGGACCGTGCGATGAGTATAGAACCCAAGTCTGACCCAAACTGCACACATAGAAGAGGAAGAAAGTCCAGTACACAACATATTATGGTACGTCAATCCAACAGGAAGGCTTTGGCCAAGCATCCAGCTACCCTCACTTTGGCTCAAGAAAGAACCCTAGCAACTGCAACCATAGACGAGAATCCAAACGAACCAAAGAGGCAGACAACATCAGCTCACGATACAATCTGAAGCATGATATTTGCACAAAGCCGCCAATATGGCAACTCCAAAACAGAATCAACAATTCAAAATCGCAGCTCCAAACATACGAGGCATGAGTTACAGTGCAGCAAGGCAACACGGTTTATGTCATGAAAAATCATAAACAATCGGAACTACTTTGGAAACGAAACACACGACAACTACACAGTTTACTTCCCGAGTGTTATCCATTACAATGTGCCGCTCCGTTAGCCTGCTCCGTCTGAAAGCATGTGGTGATTGCCGAGGCATATCTTCAGAGTGATTGCGAGCCTGCTGGGCGCATGTATCATCGTCACGTTTGAGGTGCGCTGTGTGCACCCGTTGCTGATGCGACGGCAATGGAGCAGAATTCTTTCCTCATCTGCAGTTCCTCCAAGTGTAGGCAGAGTCGCCGCTTAAGTGACCAGTCTTGGGTCTGGAGTGTGGCCTCACTCCCCCGCAACTGCTCGTAAGTCGCTTAGACAATGTCTACCAATGCCGTGATTGGTTTGCAGCACCTGCTCACTCGTCACAAGTTCCGAAAAGCGGCATAGAGAAGGATTAAGATGTTGAGCAAGCAAGGCATCCGAGGTCACAACATGTCAGCCCACATGACCTCCAAAGGCTCCAGTGAATGAGGAGGTGGAAGCCACGAGTGACTTGGATCCAATTGAGAAAACGCGCTGCGGCAGCATCGGATGAAACGAATACGCCAGCAAGAAGTCCGAGGTCGTAGTAATTCGAGGCTGGGCAGCTCGAAAGTATACAATAGTAGAGAATAGAAATTTCAAGTCGAAGTCGAAGCGGAGGGACTCCCTGGAGAGTAAATCGGCAACCCAACCTTGTGCTGTTTTACGCCCACGCATGCCGTGCCTGACTTAGTCCATCCTAGGAAGGTGACTGGGGCAGCTGATACTGCCGGGCTCAACCAACTCCGGGCAAGGAATCGCGGAGATTCCAGCACAATTCTAATCCAGATTCTCCAAAACCCGATTGCCCTACGGTATCTTTAACTTTGCAAAATATTAGCAGCATGGCAACAATGTACCTCAACAGCTGATGCGAGCCAAGCGGAAGCGGTCAGGTCTAGCTCTTACCAGCAGCCCTGCCAAGATACAGCCACATGGGACTTGTTCGTCCAGGCGTTTACAATGTCAAGCCCCGAGCTTTGGGTGAGGGCGGGGCCTGCGGCAAAGATGCTGGTATCCTTGACACAAGACTATAGCCTCAACCAGATTACGTGCAATCAACACTGCTTGGAGCATAACATGGATGTCCATAATTTCATCGCATCACTGATTCGGAGCAATGTACTATGCAGTTCTTGCACTGCTTGGCGCGCAGTGCCTGACTAATCCAAGGTCACTATCCTCTGTGAATTTGGACAAAGCAATTAAGCCAAGCAAGCGCATCTGCAGATGTTTCGGCTGACGCATTTTTTCTCAGGCCGGTTACCGGCAACACCATCCTCTGTGCTTCCATTGGCATTCTCTTTAGTTCTCTCGATGCGGCCTCAGCACCAACGAGATCGTGCGGATGGGTTCCAAGTTGGTCCTTGAGTGATTGGCGTGCTTGCATCCAGTTGATCAGCATGGATCCTGGTAGATATGCATGCAAGCTTGAACACCTGTTTGTGCCAGCTACTTAGCCCATGAGTTTTCGGGGCCCAGCTCGGAAGCCATCAATTCCTGAAAAGCCCGGATCCTGAGCTCTATTTTCACTGGGAGACAGTTGTGCGGATGCCCGAGGTCAAGCGGACCATCATGAGGCCGACGAGAAAAGTGCATGCGACGTGCCGTTGGTCAGAGCATGCTTGCTTAAATGCCCATGATCCACAAAGGGTTCAGAGTCTTAACCTTCGAGATTCGTTCCTGGGCTTCTCTTCAATCCCCATTACCTGCTGTTGCAGCTGCAGTGTAGGTTGTTCTATCGCTATGCGATCCCCTACAACCAGCGGCCGACGACCTCCGTGGAAGCAAGGAGGTTTCAGCTCAGGCAGGGCAGAAGACAGATCCTGACGAGAAGAAGGTGTTTTTATCCCAGCATGCTCACAGTAAGATACCCGTTTCTTGGCAAAGCCATCCAAGCTTCGTTGCACAGGTATTGGCATGAGCTGGCAGAGATGGGTAAGTGGACGTGCTGGGGTCTCAGCGTTGAACGCACTCAAGCAGACCGCCAGCGCACTGCCAGTTTTCAGCCAAGGCATCATCGGCAGCTTCCTGGGCTTCAGTGCTGTCGTGTCCATGTGCATGTCCGGGACTCTGTGCATGTCTTTTGCATCTGGCCCTGCGAACGGCGACGTGCGTTCACGCTCACGCCAGGCTGACACCACAGCCACGTGCTGCCGCGGCCTTCCAGGCATTTTGGTTCAGCTTGTGCGGCACTTGGAGGTCTCAGCCGGCTCGGGAGGAGACGACAGAAAGCAGGTAAAGCACGAAACCATCAGTGAGGTGTGCCGATTATACGCTGATGGGTTTTCCCCATGTAGCATCAGAAGATCAGAATCAAGGCTTCTAGCCCTGTAGCCAGTCTAGATCAGGACCTCCCAAGCAGCACACGTGATGACGACCAAGCAGAGGATGAACAGCGAGATGTGATTGAAGTGAATGTGAGCAGTGCTTTCCGAGGTTTTACGCAGCCACGATTGTGGGTTCTTCCGCATGTTAAGCTTTGTCGCTGTAAGGCTGAAGCCAAGCAAACCGCCAAAATTGAAGCTAACATCGTTCAAAAGCATGGGCTGAGTGGACGCAGGCTTTGTCCAGAGGGTGTGATTCGACCCAGGATGGCCACCCACTGGGTGTTTCCACTCCTGCGTGGGGGGCTGTGCGCCTTGATCCTCTCTGTTTCCCGGACCAAGGCCACACAGCTTTGAGGGCAAAGCCTTGCAAAAGTAATGCTCAAGGAAGAGCCTTTGAGCTTGAATGAGCTTGACATTGAGGAGTCAACTACGCGTACTGTAGAGCTGCGCAAGCGTTGGACACTGTCAGTCTCGGCGTTTTTCGCATTTACTGCAGGCGACATTTGATGGCTGGCTGACAGTCTGGCCGCCACTTGGTGCTGTCTAAACCCGCAGGCAGTGTGCTAACCGCATTTTACACAGATGTTCTGTTGTTCCGTGCCGCCTCTTCTGTAAGAGAAGTTTCGGCAATGGTTAAAGCCCAGGGGCCTGATGAACTTTGAGTATGTGGGCATCAAGACCACTGAGTTCATGGCCGAAAGCTCGGACGAGGACTACTCCACCGCTTCTTCCAAACTCGACAGCGTTTTTCCCAGCTCGCCCGGTATACATACGGTCATACGGTCCATCCGTGGCAAAACCTACACGTTTTCACAGTTGAGCTCGAGCTCTTTCTACATCAGCGAGAAACGGCTCGGTTACGCACTTCTCTGTTGCCGAGGTTTGGCGTGCACAGCGAATAGCTGCCGAGGAGGAACTCCTCCTGCAGGCGACGCAGCATGGATCGGAGCGCGCTGAAAGGCTCTGTTTTTTTCCTGAGATACTACCTTTGGCAGGTCTATCCAGACTTGCCCAACATCGGCCGCAAGGCCCAGACCAGTGCAGGGCTTTCTTAAACGTGTTGAGGTTTTGGCGAGAGGTTCGCCGTGGAGGTGTTTGCATGGGTGGCGTTCGGAAAACTTGAGTCAATTCATGGAACTCATCAGGCCATGTCAGGCCCACAGATGGCGCCGCAGCACCCCCTCTGTCGAATCCTCGTCCCGTCGAGTAGTACTTCGTCATGGTGTAGCATGCGGCTGAAGCGATTTTGACGAGCTCTTGCTTTGTCTTGTGGAAGCACCAGAAGCTGGGTGTCTTTGGTTTTGCTGCCCTCCTAGAATGGGCTTGTGAGCCCGTCATGGATGCAGCGATGGAATGAATGATTTTTGTATGTGCTGATTGTGCCAGATTCGAGATCCGATGGAAGAGGAGGAGTTGGGCGGCGCACAGGACTGCTTGCATAGGGCCGTGGCGCAGGCACGACGCGTAAAGAAGTGAAGTCGGATACTGAGTCTAGAGTTCCAAGCAACCCTCTGAGATTCTTGCATTGAACATTCGCTGATCTAGTTTCGCATCGTGAAGTCTTCTTCGCAACCTCTGCGATCGACAGCGATTTGTGAACAGACTAACTGCACTGATGGCTGGTCGTGAAGCTGCTGTGTGTCATCATGGGTTCAAGCAGTTCGCACCTTGAAATTGAGGGATTTCGTAGCTGCGGTGTGGCAGCAGCAACAACAACAACAACAACTCCTGCCAGCACACTTGCGGCTGAGACGTGTTTGTACGGGGGGAAAACTGGCCGCCAGCCCGTGGCTGCTGCAGAACTCACGCTTCGAAGTGCTCATGAATTTCTCTGTGCCCCTGAGGATCCCAACCAGTACGTCGCGAGCATGGCGTTGGAGGACAGCTGGCCGGCCTCCACATTGCCACCTTGGATGTCAGGTTGTCGTGTGTCCAGAGCTAGGCGCGGGCTTTCAGTGCCGCGGCCGGCTTGAAGGGCAAAGGGCGAACTAAACTGTTGCCGTCGCGCATGCAGCCACGGTGCAGTCCAGTCTTCGACACCCATGGGTACCATGGATATTCCACAGACTGACTGCAATACTTAACGCGAATCCTGTGAGTCGTGTCTGGGAGCATGTGGGAACCAAACACGGAGGGTGGGCGGACCAAATTGGGGCAAGATCGTGATGCCCTATTTGCGTCTCCATATCAAAACTGCAGTCGTTATTTTCCTCTGGCCGCTACTAGCCTGTCCCAGGATCGTCGGTGAGGGCGGCCTTAGAGACCGACGAAGAGCTGCGATCAGCGCGTGCCTCAGCGACCTGCGCCGAGGATCCGAAGAGTGCTCTGTGCCTCAGAGTCCCAGCCGCTAGGTTCACGAGTCGCACATCGAGTTACTGTACAGTGTTCCGCTCCCTCAGCAGTGTTCAAGCATGCTGGCGAGCGTGGCTTTGATTAGTCAGGAGTTTCACACACTCTGCATGACGATGACGAAGCTTCGTCTGCAGTGCATGCACCTTGGGAGAGTCAGCCACTAGATCAAATTTGCACACAGGAGGGCTCTCCAACCTGAGTAGGAGGATGCGGCCTTTTTTCGGCGATGCACAAATCGAGCGAACTCCTACGCTTGCCAAGTCCGACGAGATTAGACGCGCGCACGGGAATCGCTGTTGGCTCGATCTGTACCAGCATCAGCCCTGCCGCAAGAATGTGAGCATTGCACAGACTTTGTCGGTGCGCTGTTCTCAGTAGCATGCAAGTGTCCGTTTCGCCAGGCCTGCTGACTGGTTTCTACTGCGGTTTGCACGTCGCGCGGACAGTCGAAAGAACAAGACGATTCTTGGCTCGCGTCATAAAAGCGAGACGAGTGATGAATACCATGCAGCACCCAAACGGCAACAGCCAGCTGAACAGCGTAATCTCTTGTGTATGCTGTGGACATTGAAAACTGACATCCGTGTTCATGTGACCGCAGTAAACATGTAAATACAACCCCGGGAAGACACTTCAGAACAGCCGAAGACGTAGACGATTGACATGCCTGATGGTGGTGGTGCACGAGTCGTGCTGCTCAGAGCTGCATGCATTCCTGCGGGACTAGCCGCGACTAACGCTGCGCATCAAAGCTGTAGCGAGACTTCGACGTGGATGTGCTAGGTCCAGCGGCTAGTCTCGCCGTTCGAGCGGTGGGCTCGGAGCAACCCTGGCCCATCCTGACCTGCTTTCGGATTCAGCGGTGGCAACTGTGAGGACGCCTCGGGTCTTTGAGGCTCTCGTTGTGGAGTCAGATCGACACCAGCAGGTCCGTGAGTCTTCTGTGGATATGGTCTGTTCTTCCTTGCCGATCGGAGCATGACACACTGGCAGAATCCAAGAAGTATAGACAGTGACAGGATGTATCAGGCTGTGGCTGAACAGAACTGGCTTGTGCTACTGCTATTGTTGACAGAGCTGGTAGATTCAGCTGGCAGGCTCTTCCCACTGAGTATGTGGCGACCATCAATCAGCATGCAGAGGGCTCGGCAACTAGAGAATACAAGAAGTATCCTGGGATGTGGTTCGTATAACAGGACAGGTGGCATTCTCGAAATGCGGGTGACCAACTTCCACTCGGCAATTGCTGTTTGGCTTGTATGGTACTTGCGCAGAAGAAACCACACCCTCACCACCGTCTCTCCCGCGCTCGTGCCAGCAATAAGCGGCGCAGTGACACCAACTTCCCCTCCATACCCCCTCTGCCTCAGACAGGTGGATCGTGTGTGAGTGTGTGTATGTGAGATTCCTGTTTACAAAGGAATTTGCGCCAGTAGTTCAGCAGGTGAGCAACCCCGTGAGCATAGCTGGCTGCCCAAAGGAATATTCACGTGTGCATATGCTTCTATAATATATATATATATGTGTGTGTACTCGTAGACCTGCATGTTATGCTAGATTTTCCATTCTCTGCACACGCACACACATAACAGATAAATTTGTATGTACATACGTACATTGTGTATATATATATATAGAGGTATAGGTGTACATAGACGTGTGTATAACTATATGCATACGCATAGTGTACTATGGCAGGAAGATCATCAGTTATGTAGGCGTGGCTTTAATACGCCCCTCGAGTCGTTTCTTTCGCGGGGCTCTGCGGTCAGGTCTGGAGACTGGGGTCGTAATACTAACTCTGTGGCCGTGTTTGGGGTTGGCAGTACTATGAGCACTTGTAGTAACAGGAGTCGTAATGGCAGTATTAGTAGTGACAGCAGCAATCGCAGGTAATAGTAGTAATAGTAGTAGCTCTAGTTGTAGTAGTAGTCGTCGTAGTGGTAGTGGTAGTGGTAGTGGTAGTAGTAGTGGTAGTCGTCGCAGTCGTAGTCGTCGTAGTCGTCGCAGTCGTAGTCGTAGTAGTAGTGGTAGGAGTAGCAGTAGTAGTAGTGGTAGCAGTAGTACTTCACTTCACTTCAATTCGCAGCGGAGAGCTCGTCCGCCTAGCGATGGCACGCATGTTTTGCGTGGCAGCTCTGCTGCATGATCATTTTGATCACCCCCCTAAGCTCAGCAACTGTTTGCAGAA